TAGGCCTGTTACTGGCAGCACCCCAATTTTGAAATGTAATGCCTCAATCCTGCACAAGCTTTGATAAGTACTCTTTTCATCATCGTTAGAAATATTTTCTAATTTTCGTTATGATCTCTCCTTTGGTTAATAGGTTTTTTAACATGTATTTTTCAGTTTCCAAGCATTTGGGGATTTTCTAGTTGTTTTGTTAATTTATTTCTAACATAACTACATTGTAATTAGGAAACATACTTTGAGTGATTGTTTTTTGCTGAAGTTTTTAGGTTCAGCTTTTATCTCCATGGTAAAGCATTGAGGATTTTCTATGCTACCAACATGATATACCATAATATATTCTGTACCCCAATTTTCAAAATGCAGCTCTATAACCTCAGCCTGAGCAAGGGGTATTTTATTAGGACATTAGCCTTTGATGGGCTCTTCAGAGATCTGCCAAAAAAATAGCTCGCTCTCTCCTCTTAGATCATTCTGGTGCAAAAGCAGCTGGACCCTGTCTGTCTCCATCTGACTGCCCCCTTCTACCTCTCCACAGTTCCCTAAAAGTGCACCCTCCTAGCTGGCTTCTTTCCATAACCCGCTCCCTCCCTACCCCCAGGATAGAAGTACTTCTCTCTCACCTCTTAAAGCTCTAATCCTTTCCCTGTTCTCACAAGGTAGTTTTTTACTTACTATACTGTTAATTCTTTGAAGCTTTAAAATGTTTTTAAATTTCATATAGTTTTTGTAGTTGTTTTTGTCATCTTCAAAGAAAATGCTGCTCAGAGAAATCCAGATTTGGTCTGTTCTTAATAACAGTGTTCCTCAAAGAATAGTTTGCAGACGAGTGCCAGTCTATCATCTGTTACCGATCTGCTATTAGATAGGTACAGAAATTGAGAGTAAACATTTAGAAACTGTCATAGCAATTTGACATTGCTGTGAAATCATAGTACATGATTTCATGCCTTCAGTTCAAAATAATCCTTATGCCAAAGTGGCATATTTTAGGGAGGCATATTCTGATCCACTTCGGTGTACAGCCTTGTGCCTCTAGACCTGTGATCTATTTTGTTTGTTTGATGAGTTTGGTTTTGGATAGTTTTTTAATTATATAAATAATGCATGCTTATTATAAAATTTTTAGAATTCAATAGATGAAAGGAGGGACAGCTAAGATCACTCATAATCCCACACTTTTCACAACTCAGAGTAAACTTCCCATAGTTTCTGTCTGCATACCGTATAGAATCCCTCTCCATACTCTTCCAGAGAAAGGTTTCTTCTCCCTCTCATTTCACTCCCTCAGAATGGAGTCAACTGGGGAAATTCAGAACATGCTTTTTTTTTTTTTCTTCCAAATTTTATTTTATTTTGTCAATATACAATGTGGTTGATTATTGTGGCCGAAACCTCCCTCCCTCCTCCCTCTCCCCCCTCCCTCCAAACAATGTCCTTTCTGTTTGCTTGTCCTATCAACTTCAAGGAATTGTAGTTGTTATGTCTTCTTACCTCCCCCCCCGCCCAGTTTTTTGTGTATTTATTTATTTATTTTTAGTTCCCACATGCTTTTTGAAGGTTCTTGACAGCCTCAGAAGTACTCCAAGATGGGAAGGCAAAGAGAAAAGCAATAAAAGAAGCCTTATCGTTGATTTTAGAATCATTATAGTATCAAATAAAGTTTATTAAAGAGTTGAATCATCAATTGTGTTCAAAAGGTTCAAGGTTATATCAGGATTGTGTAAATTATGAATATGTATATTTTAAATTTCTGTGATGAATAAAACTTGCACAAATAACAGTATTTTAGTTTTTCTTTCTGTATCATGAAATTTAAAATTAGCAGGTTACTTCTTTTACTTTAGTATCAATCAATGTTATATTTTTAACAATCAGATAACTAATCAAATAGCTTTAATGTTAGAAAAGTACTTCCACAGTGATGACTTTCTTTCAAAATAACCCCTCAAAGATTTGCCAGCATATTTAAAAAGTTACACAGGTCATTTTGTTTGGTACCCCTGCTTATGAATCATTGAATTAAAAAACTTTACAATGGCCAAAAGGTTCATTTATAATAGCAACTAAAATATAAAATGCCTTGGGGGAAAAAACCCTAATAATATTTGGAACCAATGTAAAGAAAATTTTAAAACTATAACTTAGAGACATGAAAGGAAATGGGAGGCATATCATGTTCATGGATGAGAATATTAGAAAAATGTTAATTTCTAGAATTTAACGTATAAATATAATCTGAGTCAAAATGTAGAAATTTTTGAGTCTGGCAAAATGATTTTAAAATTCAACTGGGAGAAAAAATTCATAAGAAACTATTGAAGAGTAATGAGATGAGACTTATTTTGGCAAATATTAAAGTGTGCTACTACCATATTCAAAATGGTATGGTACTAGATGCAAGGTTAGACAGGTTAGTGGAAGAGAGTAAAACCAAATAGTACCCTGTGTGTGTATGCGCATGTGTGGAGACTGGCATCTTAAGAGCTAGTATTTCAGATATATCCAGACAAAATGGATTGACTCATGCTGGTAATTGTAGCACAAGGTAGTAAATAATTTCCAATTATTTTTTGCTGATTGGTTCCCTCCTTAGGCTTTGGCCTTGTACCACTCTGCTACCTTCTCTTCGACTCCCCCCAGCTCCCTTTTCCCTATTCCTTTCCAGGTCCCTCCAAAAAGTCATCTAGCTCTCAGGACAGCTCCCAAATTCTCATTGCTTTATTATGCAATCAATTTAGCTCTCTCTTTTGTCTAACTCCTCTCTCATCTAAGTTGAATAGTATTTATCCTCACATTTCACAGGAAAAAAGAAAATACCTCAACAAAACTAATTTCTTCACTGTGGGTTTTTTTAGTCCTCATAGATCAACTAACGAGCTTAAACTACAGCCAGTTTTTTAAATAGAATTTTTTTCTCTCCACAGTACAACGAAATGAAAAATATTCAGCTTCCTAGTAATCAAGGAAATGCAAATTAAAGCAATCATGAATGACTTTTATTTCTCCTATCTAATTGGCAAAGATGAAAAAGAATAGTCATCCAAATGGGGGCAAAGTAGAGGAAAGGACACATTCATACTCTGTCGTAGGAGTGTAAATGTTAAAAGGATTTTGGTAGTAGTATATGTCTCCAAAGTGTTGTTTTAAATCCTCCTTGGCCTAGCAACTCTGCTTATAGGAATTTTCCCATAGCAGATGATCAGTTGTTCACAAAGAGGCACAATCACATTCATCCAGGCTTTATTTCCAGTGGTGGGAAGTGGGAGCTGCCGTACTTCAGAATAGGCTAGGCCATCATAAACATTATACTTTGGAGAAGAATCCTACTTGACGTTGGAAAATGGTCATCAGGTGTGAAATGGAAAGTAGTTAAAATTTGTAAAGCCTGATATAAATGTCAAAGTATTTTCATTTACGTAAAACCACACCAAGATCCAAATAATATAATCAATTGTTCATTACACATGTACTGTGTGTTCAGTCTTATGCTGGGTATCGGATGGGGGTATGTTAAAAGTAGAAACTATACTTGTTCTTTAGGGCTTTGCACTTTTGTTGAACTGTTGGTAGGACTTGAAAATGTGCATTTGTTCCTTGCACAACCAGTAGGTGTAGCTGTAGTTAATGGGAAGAGCACTGGACATAGCTAGACAGGGATTTGAATCCTGTCCCTGTCATATACTAGTCCACTCAGGCAAATTATGTGAGAATGAGAATGATGCTAATGTTCATGGGGTAGTTGTAAGTATGAAGAGAGATATAACAAGGACTGCTTCCCATGATGTCTGATGAACAGTTAGTTCCTCTACTTTTCCTTCTGGAAATTTCTATTTCCTCAGTATAGTACCTGCAGCAGGTATATTAGAAACTGAGCTACTGGATAAATGAATGAGATACTGGATTTGAAAATATTTTATAAGCTTTAAAGCATTATAAAAATATTAACTATTAATATTTGAATAATGTCATCAACATATGTAATGGTATTGCAAAAGTTTCATATATACATATGTCTGTGTGTGACCTTGTGTGTGTTTGTATGTATATATGTGTTAAATGTTATGATATGGGCTGTATAAGATTGTTATACAATTAAAGCAAAGGAAGGAGAAAAGAAAAAAAAAGCGAAGAAAGGCATTAATGTGACTGGTAATCATTGAGGGGGCTTCCTGGGAAGGTAGGATTAGAATGAAGGTAGGTTTTGTATATGAAAAAACAATTTATGAAGAAGCATGTGGCCATAAAAAGAAAAGAAAAGAAAAGAAAATGGTATATTCAGGGAGTGGTAATAAGATCAATCTGCCTAGAGAGCAGGGTTTTCTTGAAACAGCATTAGGGTAGGTAGAAGAGTCAAAATGTGGCCAAGACAACAGGTCTTCCCTATCTGGTGAGAAATGGAGAACCATTGTAAGTTTTAGGGAGGGATAGTGACACTGTGTCACCAGCACATCAATGTGCTAGAGTATGTTTGTAGCAATTAATTTTGGTAATTGAAGTATAAACAAAAATAGTTTGGCTCATTATTTTTTTCTTCCACAGTATACAGCTTGAATTTTCCATTTAGTAGTAATAACTTAACAAAATGTTTTAAAATCTTTGTATTCTTAAAATATTGCATGATGTGTCTATATGTATATTTCTCTCTCTTAGAGATAATTTTGGAATTCTACTCAAAAATATGCCCACATCCCCCAGCATTGCTCTTTTCCGAGACTCCTTGTTGTGATAACCGAAAGAAAATTTATAGTCAATTTTCTATAATTCATGTCATTTGATACTATTTGCTTGCTCTGTTTCTTTCCCCGCAGACTTTCAATGTTAAGATGGTTAGAATGTCCTTTATAATTGATGTCTATTTTTCATTGAAAGAAAGGAGGTTTAAATAACTTACAATCATTAGTAATAAGTCAACTAATAACTTAGTTACAATGTATTGGCTTTCAGTGTTGTCCTCCTGGAATTTCCTCTTTTCTTATATTATTTTTCACATTTCTCTACAGTATGGATGGAGCAGATCTGTGTTTTGAAATCGTAAAGCGAGCTGACGCTGGTTTTGTATACAGTGAAGCTGTAGCCAGGTATGTAATCTGAATCTAATCTGCAGAGGTAAAGGTGGAAGTAAAAGAAGGAAATGACAAAGAAATCGCATGAAATAGCTGCTCTTCGAACTGATGATGGGAACGCTGCTGCTGTGTGCTTCAAGGAGCGTATCCGTCTTAGTATGTGTTAGTGGAACCCAGTTGTGACTGGAAATGCAAAAAACTGAACAATGAATTTACTAACATTGGTTTCATTTTCATATCAGTACTGCTATCTTTCCCATTTTTGATGACTTTAATACAAGGAGGGATTTGATAGCTTAGGAACCATGTAGCATTAAACTTGGGTTTTGTGTTTGATTTTTATTTTTTGGCAGGTGTGCCTCATTAGCTTTTTATTTTGCCTCTTAGTGATATCAGATCGTTATGTGACTAGTTAATGTAAGGAAAAGCACAGAACAGTAGAAGGAACAGAACAGAAATAAAAGCACCATTTTTCTACTGAATATATTTGCTTTAGGCCAGTGTGTGATCTCCCAGTCAAATGGTGGCTGTCTTTCTAAGCGAGGAGTTACTGTGAAGACTTAATGACTTAACATAAGGAGTAAATAGGAAAAATCACAGGAGCCATGTGTGCACTGGGCCACTTGCTTATCTATTTAGAGCAGTGCAGCTTTCTGCTTTGATTACATTCAATCATATACTAATCACCCACTCTAGTGGGTTGCCTTTTTAATACACAAGGTACAACATCCCTCCTCAGTCACCAACCATAATATGTTGAAGCGTTCAAACCCACATAATTATTAGGATTTATTAAAACTTTCTATCATTTGAGAAGCATTTATATTAAATGATAATAACTTCCTCCCTCCTATTATTTCTTTTATAATTATAGCATTATAGATGGAAATAACTGGAAACATCTTAGAGAATACCTTAATACAACTTTGAGCTCAGCATGTCTTGACTGTCTTCAAATCCATGGCTCTGACTCCTCCTAGCTGAGAAGCAAGGGACCCAGTCTCAGGGCTGGAACAACTGTAGCTATAGCAGAAAATAAAGAATATACTCAATGTCTGGTAGCCGCTCTTTTGTACTACCGGGCTAGGGAGAAGAAGCAAATGAAAGTTTATGTATGTTAGCTATAATTACTTCTTTAGAGTCTGATGTTATACATGGTGGAATTAAGGCTAGATATCCTTTTTTGTATGTACCATGCTGTCTTAAGGCACATTCTAGATTTTTTAAATCCAATTTTTCTATTGTTTTGAGTTCTTATCACAATTTTAAATTTTTATTCTTTCTTGTGCTTCAAGATTAAAGCATTTTTTATAGCAAAAATAGCTCATGCTATCTTGCTTTTTCTTATGGCATAGTTGTAAACCACTTTACCTGACTAAATGAAGCTCTGACTTTTGCATATAATTATTTATATGTATTTCTTAAAGAATTCAGAGGAGCCTGCCTTTGTACTTTTCCATATTGCTATCTTTCAAGAGCAGCATAAAATAAGGAAAACTAAAAATTCTGAATTTTGAGTTTATAAAGTAGTGAAACTCAATGAAGGAAGATTATTTTTTCCTTTCTGAACCACAAGAATACTGGAGTACCTGGCATATATGCTGGCAGAGTTGATGTTAAACAACTACTACATTTACTCTGTTCCCCAGTCACCCTTACTACTTTTCCTTAACTTTGAGCCTGCCTCTGCCACTGGACAGGTGTCAGAAAGCCTGTTGATTTTCAAATCCACCCATATTTGCTGTTAAAATAGTGACTTTCATAAAAGGAACTTTCCAGAACTGCTCCAAAAAAGAATAGATACAATTTATTAAAGACTTTTCCTCTTGACGGTGAAAAGAAAGTAGGTGACATTGCAAAGAAAGGTTTAGACACAGTTTATTAAGGGCTCTTCCTCCTAACAGTGAAAAGGGGTAGGGGAAGGGGAGCTCAAAGTATTATTAGGTGTGCTCCCTATTGCAGAGAATCAATGACCAAGAACAAGGGCCTGTAGATTCTTCCTTCCCTTGTTTTGTTTTTGTTGGGGGGTTTTTTGTTTTGTTTTGTTTAGGTTTTTCCTTTGGTGTAGAGTATTTGACCAGATGACTTCTTTTTTTTATATATATATATTTTAAATGTGGTTAAAAAAAACACGTAACATAAAATATACCATCTTAACCATTTTTAAGTGTACAGTTGAGTAGGGTTAAGTATATTCACATCATTGTGAACAGATCTCTAAAACTTTCTCTTTTTGCAAAACTGAAACTCTATACCCATTAAAAAACTCCCATTTCACCCTCCCCACAGCCTCTGATAATCACAATTCTATTTTCTGTTGCTATGAATTTTGACCAGGTAACTTCTAACCTTCCTTCCTCCTCTCTGATTCTATGATTCACTGTTAGGAAATTAAGCTTGTATCAGTATTCCAGTGAGACCAACTGCAAGAAGACTCTGAGACACCAAGCAATCAGATTGTTAATGTAGTTTTTCTCCAACTGGCTAAGCTTCAAGAGGAGCAGCAAAGCATGGCCTAAAATAAAACTGTGTTCAGTCCTTAGTACAACCCAATTAGTGATCACCTCTGTCCTTTCAGGGGCTATGAGTTGTGAAGTGAGCAACACACAGGATCAGGTGATCAAATCAAGCTCTCACAAATCGGAGAGATCTTCTCACCTAGTACCCAGCTTCACTAAATAATTTCAAGGATACAGGCAATCAAAAGGCTCAGCTGAAGTAGAGAGAGGTCTGGGCCATCAAGGGCAAGATCCCCACATCATTTTTTCCTGCATCAGAAATGTTACCTCTGGGGCCGGCCCGGTGGCGCACTGGATAGTGCGCCGCTTGGGAAGCGCGGTGGCACTCCCGTCCGAGGGTTCGGATCCCACCTACAGACC